GTTCTGGCAACCCTTTATGGACTTTTTACTGACACCAGGATTGAAAAGTTGATGTTTTATGCATTTGCTTATGGATAAGGGATGAGGTATGGGATGAAAAGATATCTGTTTAACCTTATAGGGGGCGAAGAGTTATTAAATTTGTTAATTCATGTTGTGATGAAGGTTGGAAGTCACTTTCTTATATATTTCTTTTCTTCTTTATCATATTTTTTCTTTTCTTTTTCTTTTTCTTTTTCTTTTTCTTTTTTCTTCTTTTTCTTTTTTCCTCACTTTTTCTTTTGTCTTTCCATTCTCTTCTCTTTAAGTTCACTTTGTATTAGTTTTTATTATTGTACTTAAAATTCTTAGTTATATTTTAAAAAATAACTGAGGACTACCTGTATTGTGTTTTGAAGTACATTTTAAGCAACTTGTTTTTCAGCAGGAGATTTGCTTTTTTTAAAACACAATTCACACTAATGTGGATACAATATTTGGATATTTCTATCTACTGAATCATATTTTAAGTTCAGAAGTCTTCAAATCATAAAACCCAATACAGCATATATAACAGGCAGCATCAGACTCACTTACTTGGAAGTAAGCCCAATTAATCTATATTTGGTTTATTTCTAAAGAGGCATGAACAAGGTTGCACTACTCATATGTTAAATGCAATTAAATTCCCATTGAGGTGAACTAAAAATAATTAACTTCATGCTTTACAAATGTATTCATTTAATTGAATGGAATATGAAATATTTGCCTTTGTCCACATTATTAGCTGCCCAGGCCAAGATGTAATGGCATTTGACACAAAATGTAGCCACCAACTTTGCAACCATATGTTTTCCATTAAACAAAGCAGTTGCTAGAAGTGACCTCACCTATAATTTGCAGGAGGGCTCGCTCGTGCTCGACACACCAACAAAATTTGCTCCTCTGTTGACCGTTCTGGAAAAAGGATATTGTGTGGCTGGTCTTCGAAGACAGGCCCATAGTTCCGCATTATAGTCTCAGCTGACTTCCAGACTATATAGGAAGGTGAAAAAAACTTAAAATGTACAGAGGTGAATTAAATACAAAACATAATAGCAAGCACTTCATACAAATGCTGGCTGCCCTATACTCTACATTTGTCAATAACATCCTGCTTTTCCTTCATGAAAAAGGAAAAGTTATAGTGAAGCTCAAGCCCTTGTGTAATTGTATGTCATCAGATGGCTGTTCCTACTTTGTATTTTCTGTCCTTTGGAATTAACACCACAAGCCAATTTCTGTTAAACTTTCATGTGCTCTATGTGGGACTTCCTGACTCACACAGAGCATAAAACATTGGCCAATTGAAGCCCTACGAAAGTTTTAACATTCCCCTCTCCAGTCAGTTGTCTGCCTCCTTCCTTCCAAGATATAGTAAGATGCTGTTTAAAATAAGCATTTTCCTGTAGCCATAGTATCTTATCCAAGAATGACTTCTAGTTGGGGAAATTACAGTAGGATAAAGGCATTTACTTTATTCTGATCTTCTGCCCTTCCACTTACACCCATGAAGAATATAGAAAAAATTTCACACATTCATATTGATGTGTAAAAGAAAGTGGTTGATTGTGTGGAATACATCAGACATGCATCTCATGAAGGGGCCTTGTGCACATCAACCTGAGTATGCTGCCTTTTCATAGGTTAGCAAGATACACACATCCACTTATGCTGATAATAAAGCATTTCTGGATTAATTAAAATAATTGTAGGACCCTTTGCTCCCTCTTAAGCATACTTATCCTATCTCAGCTGGAAATGGCCTTGTCCTTGACACTGATGGAACGAAGGGCGCAATATTGGCTTAGGAAGATTGTCATCTTCTAATGACATTTCAATAGCTAAAAGCAAATGTACTTAAGGCTTAGAGTTTTTTGCGGGCAGGGGGAGGACTTGCTGAGAGTACTTAGAATTCAATAAATAATTCATGATAATTGCATGTTCAAAAGCCATTTTTGTTAAACCTCAGATTTCTGCCTCTAAATATCAATGGTATATTTGTTAAGCAAGAAAAGCCAAACTTGACTAATCTCGCCTTTTGATTACATACAAGCGCTACATTCCCTCCTTGTCTTTCTTGTTGCCCTTGTGTTTTCATAACAATGGCTATGAACTGGAGCTGTGGAAAGTGCAAAAACATTAGGTTTGCACCTGAGATTTCAAGGGATCAGGGAAAATGCCAAAATAGCATGCATTTGGTTAGGGAATAAGACTGCTGGGAATGTAATGAGAGGGCTTGCGATCATTATAAAGCACTTGTGATATTATTAGGTTATTATGGAGTAAATATTGAGGTGGTATAATAGAAATCTCTCATGATTATGTCTTGTTTTTTAAAAAAATTATTATTAATTTATTATTACATTTATTATTATATTTATATGCTGTCCATCTCCCCCAGAGGGTGACTCTACTTATATATCATATTAATGAAGCATAGAATCAGGATCTGCAGGCACTACTGAAGGCTGACATGTGCCATGAATGAGGAAGATTGTGTGGGGTACTTCTATTTAAAAACAGAGGATGGAATAGTTTTGCAGGTGTGCTTCAGATGTTGCTGAACTGCAATTCTCAGCAGCTCCAGCTGGGAACTTGGAACATTAGAAATTGTTCAGTAACATCTGGAGGGATAGAAGTTCTTCAGCTCTGATTTAGCAGTATCCCAATAAAAAGCAATTAGCAAGTAACATAAAACTTAGAGCTAAATGAGTGAATGAGAGTTACTTGTTAATGCCTTCCTATGTAGTTAAAAACATCAGGGGTCTGACACATTGGGGAAGGCTAAATCTATCTCCATGCAACAATTTTATCGACTGCTCCTGGTTGCTTAAAAATAAAGGAGTTGCAGACAAAGCATTTTCTTCCTTATTAAACTGAATTATTCAAGCTTATGTAAAGTTCCTAATAAAAAAAGTAGTAATATACAAAATAAACGCTGCCACTGAACAATGCTATTTTAAAATAGCATTAACGGAAATCACCGCAGAAAAAACAGGCAAACACATTCAGCAGTTAAGACTGCAATGCTGTGCAGTTACATTAAATAAGAACAAGTCCTGCTGAAATCAGAGTCCGTGCAGCTGAGGAAACATCTTCAGGGTTGTGCAGTAAGGCTGCAGGATACTTCCTTGGAAACAAATCCTATAGTACACATAATTCTGAGTGATCGTATGTAGGATGGCCTATATCTATATGGCAAAGAAAGCAGAAAATCAGAATATTGTCCTGAGTTTCAGTAGAATACACAAGGATGGGCAGAACTTAATTTAGCACCACCTTCAAGATTTTTCTGAGGCACTTCTTTAAATCTGTTTATAGGTTCTCTTAACAGTTGTTTCATGTACAGTTTATTAGACAGTGTTCTCACTGCATCACACAAGAGTGTTACTCTTCTTGCTGCAGCTTGCTGGCATTATATAGCACTGCAGAGAAGCTTGTGGTTAGCCAGATCTGAGCAACAGTCCCTTCAGTTCTAAATGTTGCCAAGCAAGTGATCATGAGAGTCAGCACCCATTTTAGAACAATTCATCTTCTATTTTCTGCAGCTGTAGTAGCCCTGTATAAGCGCTTAGAGTAGAGGGAGAGAAGCATCTGGAGCTGCTCGATTCTCTAGAGTTGGAGGCCTGGGCTCATGCTACTATTCCTCTTAATGAAATAATACTGATATTGATGGAAAGATCTAGGTATTTTTACAAATCCGGATTTTTATTCTCAAAAGAAAACCCAACAATTGCTGGCTTTTCTTCTGCTTGGTTCCTTTTCATGCTCACTGTGAGATATTTCCAGCCTTCTGGCCATCATTATACTAATCTTTTATGTCATATGTTATCAACCATTAGAAAATGCTCCTGTAGGGCTTTGTAAATGATTTAATCCTTTATGGTCTCTGCTTGAATGCAAAAAAGAAGTCTCCTAAATTCAGCTGGTTAACAGAGAAACCTGCCTTGATGTCATTGGCATATGTGGGCCAGACTAGCTTCCACACCAGCTAATTGCCTCCTGATCTAGGCCAACCATCTTCCCAAGAGACCCCAAAAACATTAAAATGTAATTAGATATTTATAAGGGACATAGAAGTTGCTTCTCCCAAGATGACAAATTAGCTCCAAAGCATTATCTAATTCTCAGCCATCTTAAATGAAATGCCTTCCCATTGAGAGACCAACCTTTTAAAGCATAGCGTGAGACTTCTAACTATCAGGAATAGTTTGGATTCAATGAAAAGCAGAGATTTGTGTATTCAGTGAAGGACAGAAAATATAAAAGGATTATGACATAAGGATATCCTAAATAGATAAATGATAATGACATTTTAAAAGAAAAACCTCTATGTAACCCCCCTCCCCCCAAATAAAGACAATTTTCTAGTAAGTTCGATATACAGTATGGTAAAGTACAATATGCCTGTTTCTTTGACTTTGGTTTTCCTACTTAGTACAGACACCATTACAAATAGCTTAATAAATTCTGCACGCAGACTTACCTGAGCTACCGACTAAGTACATGACTTAAAAGGTAAACGTGTGAAAGTTCATGTTAGCTGAGCTATGCAGTAAGCACCTTATATAATTTCATATCCTGAATTTTGGATGAAAGTACAAAGAATTTTGTTACTTGGCTGGCATAAATTTGATCAGTCCTTGTGTTCACCTAAATCTAAATGTGCCCTTCCAGGAAACTCTTACCTTTAGAGCAGACAATCACTAATGAAAATAAGAGAAGTTCTGCAGACATTCCCATTTGTAGGTTTCAGTGGGTGAAATACAATTCAGCAATCAGAGGAACAGAGTGTGAGTCTGTAAGAAAGCATGAGTGCAATTGTTGATCATTCAACTGACTACAAAGCCATTGAAGCTATATTTTCAAATTTCCTACCAGCCAGCAGCATAGTCTGTTATCACTCTTAAGTGGAATTGCTAAAAGAATACTCAGTCAGTAAAACTTTAATAATAAAATGTTATGCTTTGCTCTTTAAATATGTTCTAATCCAATTCTTGGACCTTCCTTCTTCTTTCCTGTAAAATATCTGTTAAGAATCTTAAGATACAGGATACCCTATTTCCACAAACCAAGCTATGTTATCAAAATACTCATATTGAGGACAATGAGAAAGAAAAGACTTGTTTCAATCTTGCTTCTTACATGTTCATACCCTATTATTTACATGAACAGGCTCTGCTTGGTTTTCCCAGAAAGCTGGAAAATTTTCTCTCTCATCTCTTGCCCATGTCTGTATCTCCCATCTTCTAATAAAATCACAAATATAAAACACAGTCAGCATCCTTATGTGATATATTTGTGGTCTGACTATCACTTTAGACTGTAAGCAAAGGGATGCACATTTTAATGTTTTCTCACAGGAAACAAAAAATTACATGCACATAGATAAAGCTCCTTGCATAACCCCAAAAGTATACTCTGGTGGTGCAGTTTAGTGAGAGATGAGGTACATGATGTTGCTGATCAGATAACTCAGCTCTTAAAATAGTCTTCACTGAGAGAAAACTTTGAGAAATAATGGATGCTTCCAGAGCTAACTAAACTGATTCCAAAAACCGCTCTGAATATGCTTATGGTTTACAATTTCTTTTTAAGAGGAAACAAAAAATAGCTTTATTCAAACTACGATTTCGGATATTTGTTTTAAATATCTAAATAGTTAAATTCCACAACAAAGAGTTCATGAATAGCATGGATGTAACGAATGCTAACAATAAGGCATGTATTCAAAAGCTGCAGCTTTTGTTTCTACTGCTAAAAGTTTATATACTGCTTTTCAAAGGACATATCACATTTTTATTATGGGAATGATTTATTCATGTAAGCAAAAAAATATACAATGATTAAAAAAAATAATAAAATCAGTAATATAGTGACAATGAAATGACAATAAAAAGGAAGGAAAGAGAAAATGTTACAAAGGGAAAAGGCACAGAACAAAGTAATTAAATTAATTAATTAGTTAATTATAATTTAGATGGAACAAAACCAAATCAGAAGCAAATATGAAAGACTTAGGAAATATAGTCAACAAAAGGGAATAACTGATATTGTTAGTTTTTTCCTTCCTCTGTTCTAATATCTTAATGTAGCCCAGGAACAGAACAAAAGCCAACTCACAAGGAACTATTCTGGTCTAGATGGATCTTTCCATGTTTCATGTTAAATTTTACAACCTTGACTGACATATTAAATTTATCCTTGATCATTAACTGCTATACTTTCCCATGTATTCCCTTTGGAGACTGATTTCAATTGCCTCCCCTAAGACCAATCCTGGCTGAGAAGATTCTTCTAAGTTACGAGGGAAGTCTTGTTGCCACGTAATAGAGGAGAACAATTTTAGAATCCTTTGAAACACGTAATTTTCTCCATTCTGACTGCATCCCCCATTGGACCCAGAATGAAGATGTACAGCTGGATATCAGCATGTCGATGATGCCATATTCTGAACCAACAAATTACCTCTTGCAATGGCTTTATGTAGAAGTTAAATAGGATGGGGAAAGGATTGAGTTCCGGGCCACAGGGCTAAAGTCTATAGCAGAGTGCCAAAGGGCTAAATCCCCAGCCTACTGACATAACAACTGGAGCCACCCACTCAGGTAGGAATGGAACCACTGTAATATACTGCTTCCAACTCCCAATTCTTGCAGGAGGTCCAGAAGAATACTGTAGTTGAGAATAGTGAAAACACCAGGAAGTGTAGAAGGACAAGGATGGTCATGTTCCCTCCATACAAGTCATCCATGAGAAAAGCCAGTGGAGTCTCTATCCCATGTCCTGCCTGAAACCAGGCTCCTATGGGTCTAGTTAATCCAAACCATCTGGAACCCTCTATTGTTGCAGCCTCAGCACTTTCTCAATAGCCTTCCCTGGAAAGGGGAGTTGGGGATAGGATAGCAGTTATCCAGGCTATGGGATCCAAGTCTGGCTTCTTATGGAATAGACAGACCAGCTGCATTTTCAGGGCTCCTAGAATTTCCCCTTCCTGGTCTGATGTAATGTGGCCAGCAAGATAGGCAACCAAGTCTTAAAGACTGCAGTTGATCCTTGAAAAGCTAAGCAGGGCTAGACCTAATAGATACTTGGATGAGAGACCATCTGGAAATACCAGGCAGTGGGGGAGACTGAAAAGATGCAAAAAATTGCAGGAGGACAGCTTCTGTATCATTACCAAGTAAGTTAGATGGATGTGTCCATGAGATTTTTGCCTGGTTTCTCCCCAGCAAATTGGACTGGAAACAATTAAGAGGCATACAAGAATCCAGGTGTCAAGCCCCATGCAGCTGGCCAGGTTCAAGGAAGTAAGAACTACATACATTTCAGTAAGATACCTTTAATGTGAGTTTAGGATAAATATCAAATCTTGGAAACTTTAAAAGGAAATTCTCAACTCAATTACAGTGAGTTAATTAGGGCAGAGTGATTTAATTTTCTTCCCAGATTTCTCTCCTCCTGGGCTAAGTTGCCATTTGTGAGATAAGCTATCAAATGATGTGCTTGCTATTGCTCGTTGTTTGTGTTCTCTTCCATTCCTTTCCCAGCCTCCTGACAAATCCCTCACCCCAGGCTCTGATAAGAAATTTTATTGTAGAGGAGCTAAAAAGCCATTACAAAGAATTCCAGTGATTGTTATGACTCAAAACCAAGTCCAATACATAGTGAACTTGTGGTTCAGTTTTAGCACCTCTTCTTCTCACCCATGATATGCAATGGCAGGGATGGCTCTCTCTTTGGGGCATGAGGTCTGGTTTCCATCTGCCTCTTGTTTGGGTAATGTTCGGATATTATATAAGGTTGTTCTGCTCTAGCTGTGTAAGAACAATCTCTTACAATCACCGGGAGACAGCACTGTCTACAACAAACTGTTATGACATCAAAACAACATGAGTGTGTCATCAAGCAAATGGTGCAGTTAGATATGATCTGATGCAAGTATGTGAAACATAGTATTTATGTGATGATGTCATCTCACACAGGCCAACAGTCATTCTCCTTGCCTGCCTCATGGATGCCATGCCCGGAGACAAGTTCAACTTGGAGACTTTATCTGAACTTTACCTGAACTTTTAATTATTATTTATTAGAATTATATTCTGCCTTTTGTTTCAGAGGCTCAGTTATATCAGATTTCAAAGACGTACTGCACCTAGTACAGTATAATACCTTCCTCTGTTGGTTTTTAGATCTGAAGGTTTCTATCAGGTCAAACTATGGCTAACCGATGCTATCTGGAAATCTAAAGATGTTTTCCCACAAAAGCTTGAGCTTTCTTACAACACGCGTATAAAAGCTATTAATGCAAGGTGGGAAGAGGCACAAGTCAATTCTAAAAATGCAGGTATAGTTTAACTTCCACAGATCTGATATCTCAATTTAGGATGTGCAGGTATAACACCCCAACCCACATATTTTAAAAGAATGCTCCAAATTTTACTTTATTATTTTATTTAAATTTTATTATTCTCTATTTACATCATTATTCCTCTCCTCTGTGTATATCAAGCAAGAAAGGCTTGCTGAGTCCACACTGTCTGGGGCTACATTTACCACCTGCATAACATTTTCTCACTCAGCTCTTTCTTGTAAAAGAAAAGTAAGCAAAAACACTTTCGGTGTTAAGGCAAGCAAATTGGAAGTGGAAATCAGAAGAGAGGGTAAAGAAAGGGCAATTTGGGAATCTTCTTGCTATTTGCACATCAATGGTCTGATTTGGAGAAGTTTTGCTTTAACTCTATAGCATGCTATTTTAAACTGTAATGTAGAAATCATACTTAGCCACGTGCACGATTCTATAATAAGCTCTGTAAAAGAAAACAAGTATTGAGCCACAAATGAAAGATGGGGTGTAGTTCCTTCTTTATTTCTGTTGCGTCCTCACACTCAAGGTGCTTGGTTTACATCGTGGAAAGACAATATTATGGAGTGACTGTTTGGGGATTAGCAGAATCAGCCACCTGAGCCCTACTGTCTTACCTCCACCATAGCAACAAAACCTTTATGTGTGCACTTAAAATTCAACCTGATTAGAAATTCTTCTCCTAACACTATTATCTTGAAACTGTAGTTTTATACAGTTTGTGAACAGCTATGAATGGAATAGAGAGCTAAGATACTCAAAAGGTGTGAATAGACAATATTTCATCAAGCATCTTTCCACATTTTTTTATTATTTTTTTTTTTAAATCAGAATCTTGCCTGTTCTAGCTCAGCAGGTCTAGTCAGTAAAAGAACAACTACATTTAGCTAGTAAAATTAGTAGGTTTTTCCCAAAGACAGCAGGTAGTGCAGATTATAATTGTGTTCTTTCTCTCTCACACTTGCTTTATAAAATATAGATACTGCATTTGAATTAATGTGAATCTTTTCTCTCCTCTCCTTGGGCATTTAGCCTAAACAAACTATAGTGTCAGGGGAGTATGTGGCTGAACAGTCAATCACATCATAAAAGAAAACAGTAGAACTGCAATAATTTTCAGCATGTTAACTCTCCTGTCTTTTTCCTGCCTCCCAGTGGGCCAATGCTGACAATAGTTTGAACACTCAGTCCTGTTGCTCTGAAAGCCCAGACCCTGATTCAGCTTCCTTTGCTTTCTGAGGTGAGAAATGGCCGTAGTTCTCAAGGTTCCACAATTTCTAAAATGATACTTAAATCAGCATTCCTTGCTTCCCTTCAAAGCCTCTATCTTCTTGCATGTTGTGATTGTTAAACTCCAGCTTCGATAAGAGTGAGCTTTCCTTTGTTCACCTGTCTATAGATCAGTGGATCTACCTTTAAACATATGAGACTGAC